AGTTATGCCCCTTTATTGACTTGCGGAAACAGTTTCCGCTCAATATCTCGAGTAATTATTAACGGATTAACTTCAAACTTCACAACAAGGTTAATTACCATGAAAGCTCGGACAAGTTAGATAACCGCCATTATCCGACCGTAATTATTGGAGTTATTCCACTTGGTTTCATTAATGCGATGCATGCGTTCCATGTTGTTGTAATGCACTCATTGATCTACCAGTTATGTTGAATGATTTCTCTTTTAATATCAGTTACTCACAAATACTTCATATATTTCAATCATACAAACAACTGCTCATTCAATGTGTGACGGGCGTATTATATACCGCTCGCGGTAACCTTGTTCTTCTTAATCACTCTGTCAATAGACTTGATATTGCCAAAAGATTTGATAGAAAAAATAGTGATAAAAAAATCCAATATTTTTGCAAAGTTACTCGTACTCGAAAGAGAGAGCACATCACACCTGCGCTTTATTCGTTGCACTGGCTACCTGTACGATACAGGTCGCAGTTCAAAATTCTGGTGTACATGCACATGCAAGGCACTGAATAGAACAGCTCCTCAGTACCTACAGGAGCTTGTTACCCTGTATCAGCCGTCACTATCACTGCGGTCGGAGTCAGAATCTTTGTTGTGTGTCCCAAAATCTCGTACTGTGACCTAGGGAAACAGATGCTTTGGGAGGGTTTCGGCTACATTGTGGAATAGTTTACCATCTGCTATTAGAAAGTCGAATACTCTAGCCAAGTTCAAGACAGACATCAAAACTCACCTCTTCATGTCTGCGTTTTAGAATCCTTGCAAAGACGTCATGTAAATACCACCCATTTATTTGTTCAATTATGTGTACATTGCTTGCTTAAATGTATAAAAGTGATTGTAAGCCTTTGTGTTTTGTTTTCACAATCATAACCATTACTATTATCCATATGTTGTAAAGCGCTTTAGAGTAATTTTACAAATTATATAGGGCGCTATATAAATGTTGTATATTATTATTATTATTATATTAAATCATGAATATTGAACTAATTTCAATAGTTTACTTATCAAATGATGAAATAATGTTTATACATATGTATATTGTTTTACAGATCATATCTTGAAAAAGAACTAGTTCTCGGTTCTATTTTGTGGTGTCGGCAATGGTATAGCAAAGTTTTTCCACCTTTAAAATTAAGATATGAACTGCCTAGATCATTTGGTCTTGATAATACTTTATCTGTGATTCCTCCGGATATGTTTGATCACATTGCGGGTATTTGTGTTAGTCTGGCTTTGTAAACTTCCTGTTTACACTTTTTATAGGTTTTTAGCAATGAACATGTAACTTGGGAGGCATGGTAGTTAGTGGTAGGACGTTGGGCTCGTGACTGAAGGGTTGCGCGTTTCAAGTCACGTCACAGCACTGTGTTGTATCTTTGAACAAGATACTTTACTCCGCTTGTTCCGGTCTTCTCAGCTGTAAATGAGTATGTGTTTGGGCAGTGCTAGGTTTGTTGAATGCTAGCTGTGAGCACCGAAATAGCAGCACCGGCTGTATGCTCCCCAAGGGAGTTGAGAAAGATGTTGGCTGCATGGTTCATGCAAAAGACCCATTACCCCGGATAATATTTTGTGAACGTTTTGCGACGACCTACAAACTAGGTTAAGATAAAGCTGTATATAAGAACCACGATTTATTATTATTGACACATACAAGTCTTACAATGAGTGCTGTTGATATGTTATTCACTTCAACTTCAGTTATTGGTATCTTATTTTAGATATCGTTATTTTTTGTTTTACTTCAAGGAGAAAAAGACTTTACTATGGAGGATGATAGATGACAGAGTGGGGACCCTGGCCCAGGTCAGAGTGAACGAGTCGGTCCATTGACGCAGATCAGCACAGTGCACAACGGTCTATGGGATCGGATCATCAATTCAACATGACTTTCCACTCAAGAATCAATAACCGAATCAACGACTTCAATGGTTTTGAAAACACACAGCCAGTCTTTTAAACACTGGTTTCCTAGGAAAATTTGGGTAATTTCCCAAGAAGTACCATATTGGAATCTTTCTCAACTTTTGAGATTGATCGGATAAACAACATGGCCGACAGGCAGCTATCTTGGAGTTTGATAGTGAAAGTTTGTTATCTCTATTTCTCAAAAAGTACCAGAGGAATCTTTCTCAAATTTTATATGTAGGTTCCCCTTGGTCCTTAGCTTTGCAGGGCAACTTTTGAGACTGATTGGTTAAACAACATGGCTGACAGGCAGCCATTTTGGATTTTGATATTGAAAGTTTGTTATCGCTATTTCTCAAAAAGTACCAGAGGAATCTTTCTCAAATTTTATATGTAGGTTCCCCTTGGTCCTTAGCTTTGCAGGGCAACTTTTGAGACTGATTGGTTAAACAACATGGCTGACAGGCAGCCATTTTGGATTTTGATATTGAAAGTTTGTTATCGCTATTTCTCGGGAAGTACAGGAGGGATCTTTCTCAAATTTTATATGTAGGTTCCCCTTGGTCCTTAGCTTTGCAGGGCAACTTTTGAGACTGATTGGTTAAACAACGTGGCTGACAGGCAGCCATTTTGGATTTTGATATTGAAAGTTTGTTATCGCTATTTCTCGGGAAGTACAGGAGGGATCTTTCTCAAATTTTATATGTAGGTTCCCCGTGGTCCTTAGCTTTGCAGGGCAGCTTCTGAGACTGATCGGGTAAACAACATGGCCGACAGGCAGCCATCTTGGAGTTTGATAGAGAAAGTTTGTTATCGCTATTTCTCAAAAAGTACCAGAGGAATCTTTCTCAAATTTAATATATATGTTCCCCATGGTCCTTAGCTGTGCAGGGCAGCTTCTGAGACTGATCGGGTAAACAACATGGCCGACAGGCAGCTATCTTGGAGTTTGATAGTGAAAGTATGTTATCGCTATTTCTCAAAAAGTACCAGAGGAATCTTTCTCAAATTTTATATGTAGGTTCCCCTTGTTCCCTTATTGTAAAACAGTGCCTGCAATAGACGGTCGCTTGCTCGCCAATGGCGGTTAAAGTCTTGCTCGAGTTACTAAAAGTTGTCAAAAGTGAGCTAGTCACTGGCCCAACAAAAATAGTTTGAGCTACTGTTGAAAAATTAATGAATTAAAGAAATTATAGTCCCTTACACATAACTGGGGGAGCATTACATTTTTCAATTGTCAATACTTTGATTTGAATCAAACTGTCTGTGATTTAGAAAATGTGGTGATTTTTTTTTCTGATTTTCTATATAAATACTGCTAGGGTGTCTTCTTTGGGGTACGAGTGTTGTGTATTTCTTTTTGAGAAGACCTGAATGGAGTGGATCATTTCAGGTTTTAACTAGGGATGAAGAATTACAAATATAATATTTTATTCTGTTTTACATAATTACTACAAACATTGTCATGTTATATGTAATTTAAATGTGCTGAAGCATTGTGTTAAATGCTGTGGAAATATTTCTTCCAAAATTATTTGGGCCACCAATATATCATTTGGGCCAGTGCTTCAAAATTTTTACTCGCCCAATTTTTTTTTAGGGGCCAGCCAATGCAGGTTCCCCACTATCCTTTATTGTTCATGTTTACTCTTTAAAACTGATCAGTTAAACAAAATGGCTTACCGACAGCCATCTTCGATTTTGGATATTGAAGGTTTGTTAGTACTATTTCTTGAGGGATATTTCTCAAATTTGAGATGTAGGTTCCCCTTGATCCCTCGTTGTGCATGTTATATTTTGAGACTGATCATAAAAACAAAGTGGCTAAAGGAAGAACTAAACAGATCTTTCTCATATTGCAATGATCAATTCTATTTCTTTTACATTAAGTACTGTACTAGTAAATATGTGAAATGTTAAACTCACTTTGAAGGTTGGCTTTCATACACATCAGTATTAAGTTTAGATCAAAAGTTACCTCAAGGTGCATTTACTGTTAACATGACTCGATCAAACAGATTAGATGAAAGAAGAGAAAAGATCGAACTGACAAAGAACTAATGAAGATGGTACAATGGTGGGCGCCAAGATCCCTCTGGGATCTCTTGTTTTCTATTTGCCCCAACTTATTGAGAATTTTTTATGTTTCGGTGCCTGGTTGTTTCAGAACCTAAGACTAAGATTATTTGGTGCTTTTTTTGCAAAGATGAAAAAAATGTTGCTGCCAAAGAATATGGCATGTGCTCTCTAGTTTAAAAACATTGTCGAGCTTGGTCAGTAGCTGGAGGGTGCCACCTGCAAGTTACATTGTGTGCAGATGTGTGACTCTTGTATACCTTAACCCATTCACCCATTAAGTCACATTTGAACCTTACCAAATCAAAGACTGGGCAAGTCCATTTTAGATTTGTAGGGGTTAACTGGTTAAGAGCATTTCCCAGTGGTAATTAAGGGAAGTAAGTTTAAATTGGTACACTGAGGGATCCAATAGAGTCCCCAGGACACAACTTGATCGGGGAATAGTGTAGCCACCAAGGAAAATAGGGCCTCAATAATACCTTACTGCTAAGGTATAGCCTCCCAGCAATATAGTATAACCCTGGGACGTGCTCTCTAGCTTCATTTTAATACCTCTACATAAATAACGTAGTCCATCGTTTCAAGGAAGAAAACAGTGTAGATGATCTTTTATTTACAACATTAGGTATCTGTAAAACATTTAAAATCTATACATGTAACGACAAAACAGAATAAAAAAATACACGAGTGTATTACTTGGATGAATGCATCGCTGTGTGAAAATTCTGTGAAATGTTGTGAAAGGTGCCAGACAGATGGGATGACATAGAAAAATCTAGAACTGGATATCATGTGAGACATTCTTGTCTGAGGTGAGAGAATTTTTTTTCTCTTACCCTGGACAGGGGGGGGGGGGGTTCCCC